GAAGGGGGATCGAGGGGTTATATTCGAGGCTGAGAGAGAGAGAGAGATGTTTAATCAGGAAGGGGGACCGAGGGGTTATATTCGAGGCTGAGAGTGAGAGAGAGATGTTTGATCAGGAAGGGGGATCGAGGGGTTATATTCGAGGCTGAGAGAGAGAGAGAGATGTTTAATCAGGAAGGGGGATCGAGGGGAAAGGAGGGAAGTTCCGTTCATCATCCATTATGTGACTGACTGCGGGAGCAGTCTTGATGGATCGCATGGCCTGTAATGCACCGATATCTTACGGGCCGTGTGGTGCAGATGGGATCTTGCTGTGCGCAAGCTGGCTGCCAGGCCCCCTCGCCACCTCGGCGACACCCCGGGGGAACATAGGCACTGCGCAGCTCAAAAGCCTCGTAGGAACCAAATAGTTGCGTCTCTCCTATATGCCTCCCCACCATCCCCCCCATCGTGTGCCCGGTGGGTCGCTGGTACCATTGCCTTATCACCATTAGGGGGTGCCAATGCAGCCATTTGGGCACCCCTGCCGAACGTGACCGAAGGTGCCTAATTCCCGCGTGTTTTTGGATTTGTAAGTAGTGGCATATGGGCGCTGGTTCCTTTCGTGAGGATTTTCTCTGCAATGAATGGTCAGAGAGTCCGTCTGGAACAGTGAACTCATCCGGGACAGCTCGGGGGATGGGTGCGCTGCTCGGGGACTGACTGGATTGGCCACCTCGCTCCCTCCTCCCTCGGAGATGGGCACCGCCCGCACACCGCGGACGCCGCCCAGATTCTGCCAGCTCACCTGGTCTCCAACCGCGGCGCCGCCCGAGGGCCCGTCCTCCAGGCTCTTGGCCACAGTGCTCTCGGTGAGGGTGGTGCACGACTCCATGGAACTCCTGCCGCTGGCGCACTCTTGCCCGGTCCCCTGCGTGGGCGCGAAAGCGACCGGGTCAGTAACGTCGGAGGTTGGAGGCTTTGGTGGGGGTGGAGGGGGTGTAACGGGAGAACACGGGGCGCCCGCGGGGTCCCGAATGCCGGGGACAGGCACGAATCCCATCTCCCGGCGAAGGCTAACGTAGTCGATCGGCTATAGGGAGAGGCTATTTTCCCTGGAGCGTTGTGGGTGGGGTGGGGGGTGACCTTATAGAGGTTTACAAAACCATGAGGGGCATGGATAGGGTGACTAGCCAAGGCTTTTCCCCCCAGAGGTAGGGGAGCCCAAAACTGGAGGGGCATAGGTTTCAGGTGGGGCGGGTGGGTAAGGGACCCTGGGGGGCAGCTTTTTCACGCGGAGGGTGTGGAACGAGGACGTGGCGGGTACAATGCCAACGTTTCAAGGGCACCTGGATGGGGAAGGGGTGTTGTGGGGGGTGGGGGGGCACGGCAAACGGTACGGGGCCAGCAGGGACGAGATGGGCCGAAGGGTCGGCGTGTTCCCCCCCCCCCCCCCCCCCCCCCCCCCCCTGCCCCCCGCCATGCCCGGCAACGGCTGACCAAGTTCCTCAACAACTAGGGGACAGGAATAATCCCGCACGCGCTCCGACTCGCAGACGAGAATCTCGGGGCTGGGCTGGGGTGGGATGGGGTGCTGGGGGTAGCAGGGTTGGGGCGGTGGGGGGTGGGGGGGGTGGAAGGGGAAGACGGTTACCTCTTTGTTCCCCTCGGCTAGCGCCCTGCGGAGCTCGCTGTTGGCCGCCCTGAGCTGTTCGACCAGGAGGCGAGCATCGCGAAACCGACACACAACAAATTCCTTGACCCGACGCTCCCTCGCTTGGAAATCCTGCAGCTCCCCGCACCTCTCCTTCAGTTCCAGGTTACTCTGTCGAATAGCTTCTGCTCGCCGAACGCAGCGTCTCCACCTCCCCCCCCCACACAACAACCGAGGGAATGGTGGGGGTGGGGGGGTGGGTGCGGTGGGGAGAGAGAGGTGTTGGGGAGGGGTGGGGGAGCAAATTAGGAAATTCGTTACACACGCGGTTTGAGAATTTTCGCCGCGGCGATAGGAGCCATCCCTCCATTTGACCCATATCCACACCACCCCCCAACTTTCGCCCCAATCTCCCGCCCCACCCCTCCCTCACCTCCAAATGTCAAGCTCACCCCCCACTTCCCTCTTTGGCGCAGTCCAAGATGGCCCTCCCTGTCCTGGATACCTCTGACGGAGGTGGGAAGGGGAGGGAGGAGGGGCGGAGGTTGGAAGTGCCCCACCCAAATTACCCCAGCGACCCTCAGCAACGCCCCCACCCACCCCCGGCGACCCTCCGACAGGTTTAGCCCAGAGTCTCCTTCCAACTTCGCCTCAGGGTCGTGCGATATGCGCCCATATGCCACTACTTACAAATCCAAACGTCAGAGTCGGGGGTGGGGGCGTGGGGAGGGGGGGTTGTTGGAGAACGGGCCCTTCGGCCCACCCGGTCCCTGCCGACCCGAGACCCCCAGACCGAACCAGCCCTGCCGGCTCCTACCCGCTCCCAGCCTTCCCCGTCCACGCACTCATCCAAATGTCTTTTGTACCTCGTAACTGTCCCCACGTCCACCGCTTCCTCGGGAAGTTTGTCCCACCCTCCGCGTTAAAAAATAAACATTGCCCCCTCCGTCTTTAAACCTTTCCCCTTAAAAAAAGAACTCCCGCAAGCTATAGAACATAGAACAGTACAGGCCCTTTGGCCCACGATGTTGTGCCGAACTTTTACCCTAAACCTAAGGTCTATCTAACCTCCACCCCTACCTTATACTATCATCCATATGCCTATCTAATAGCCG